CTAACCGCACCACTGTCGGTCGTCTCCCGAGAGTGGACGTCCATTGCCTGTAAATAGGTCTAACAATAGGTTTGTCACTTTGGCTAACCGCACCACTGTCGGTCGTCTCCCGAGAGTGGACATCCATTGCCCCTAAATAGGGCCGGGCCCGAGGGCGAGGACCGCGGCCGGGAAAGTCAGGGGCCGGGCTCGAGGGCGAAGACCGCGGCACTCAGGGGGCCGGGCTCGAGGGTGAAGACCGCGGCTGGGGAACTCAGGGGGCTAGGCACAAGGACGGGCAGGAGCAGGTGGAACCCCTGGCGGGTCAGACGTAGACGAGACCCTGGACGGAACTTGGGCTGGTGTCAGTGGGACCCACGAAGGAGCAAGGGTTGGTGTAGATGGGACCCGAAACAGGACACGACACGGTGTTGGTAGGACCCCCGGCCGAAGAGCAGTTGGCAGGACCCCCGACGGGACAGGGCATAGGGTTGGCAGCACCCCCGGCAGAGGAGTCGTCGGTGGAACCCCTAACGGGACAGGACGTGGAGTTGGCAGGACCCCCGGCAGAAGAGTAGTCCGCGGGGCCTCCAACGGCACAGGACATAGGGTTGGCAGGACCCCCGGCAGGAGAGTAGTCGGCGGGACCTCCAACGGCACAGGACATAGAGTTGGCAAGACCCCCGGCGGAACCTCCAATGGCACAGGACATAGGGTTGGCAGGACCCCCGGCAGAAGAGTAGTTGGCGGGGCCTCCAACGGCACAGGACATGGAGTTGGCAGGGCCCCCAGCAGAAGAGTAGTTGGCGGGGCCTCCAACGGCACAGGACATGGAGTTGGCAGGACCCCCAGCGGAACCTCCAACGGCACTTCAGTAGGGACTTGAGTAGGGACTAGAGAAGGGACTTGAGTAGGGACTGGAGAGGGGACTGGAGATGGAACTTGAGAGGGAACTTGAGAGGTGACTCGAGAGGTGACTCGAAAGGAGACTTGAGAGGGAACTTGAGAGGTGAATTGAAAGGAGACTTTAGAGAGAACTTGAGAGGGGACTCGAGTGGGAACTGGAGGGGTGACTTGAGAGGGGACTCGAGAGGGAACTCAAGAGGGAACTCGAGAGGAGACTTAAGAGGAGGCTTGAGAGGGAACTCGAGAGGTGACTTGAGAGGGGACTCGAGAAGTTACTTGAAAGGAGACTCGAGAGGTAAATTGAGAGGGGACTCGAGAGGTTACTTGAAAGGAGACTCAAGAGGGAACTTGAGAGGGGACTCGAGAGGGAACTCAAGAGGGAACTCGAGAGGAGACTCAAGAGGAGGCTTGAGAGGGAACTCGAGAGGTGACTTGAGAGGGGACTCGAGAAGTTACTTGAAAGGAGACTCAAGAGGGAACTTGAGAGGGGACTCGAGAGGGAACTCGAGAGGGGACTTGAGAAGGAACTTGAAAGGAGGCTTGAGAGGGAACTCGAGAGGGAACTCGAGAGGGGACTCGAGAGGGGTCCCCTCTCGAGTTCCCTCTCGAGTTCCCTCTCAAGCCTCCTTTCAAGTTCCTTCTCAAGTCCCCTCTCGAGTTCCCTCTCGAGTCCCCNGGACCCAGCAGATGATCCATTTGAGGTAGAATTACAACATTTTACCTTTTATTTGGCTTGCTGCTATGATTGGTGGAGGGATGCGTCCAGTGTTCGGCAGAAGAGGGCCTCCCTGGTAGAGGCACACCGGTTGGCAACAGAGAAACCATGGTTGTTGAAGTTCTTACCTGGCTGGATTATGGACTTCCTCCAGACGTGTGATTCCCGGCCTGTGTTCCGTCTGGAGTCAACCCCTGCTTCTTCCCCATTTCCTGCTCCTGTCCAGGAGCCGTTCTCGGGTACTCGTCTGGCTTTTGGAGGTGCACTGAGAAGGAGTCGCAAGTCCAGGCTAGCAGCCCGAACCCCAGAAGCCATGCTTTGGGCTCCAGTACAGGCCCCAGCAGTCATGGTTCCATGCTCCAGTGCCGGCCCACACAGCCATGGTACCGTGCTCCAGTACCATCCCACACAGCCATGGTTCCGTGTTCCGGTTCCGTGCCCAGAAGCCATGGTTCCTGCTCCAGTACCGGCCCACACAGCCATGGTTCCGGCTCCAGAACCGGCCCACACAGCCATGGTTCCAGCCCCATTTCTGGCCCCAGCAGCCATGGTACCGGCCCCAGCAGCCATGGTTCCAGCCTTAGTCCTGGCCCCAGCAGCCATGGATCCGTGCACCAGTACCGGCCCACAGAGCCATGCTTCCGTGCTCCATTATCTGGCTTCCACATTCAGGGTCCAGGCTTCTGTTCCGTGCCCAACAGCCATGGTTCCGGCTCCAGAACCGGCCCCAGCAGCCATGGTTTCGGTTCCAGTACTGGCTCTCCGGCCGACGCCAGCTCCCCGTGTCCTGTCGGGGTACCGGCCGACGCCAGCTCCCCATGTTCTGTCGGCGAACCGACCGTCTAAAGCAGGGGTCACCAACCTTTTTTAGGGTGAGGGCTACTTTAAAAAAATAAAACAAGTCGGAGGCTACTTTTACTCCTCTTTTTTTGTTTTTTGCAGTGTATATATTTAGCACATTTTAACGTTAATATGCTTACCTTTAACCTTTGTGTGCTGTTTGGGTCTGTGGGACCCGTTTTCAGTGTTTACTAAAAGAACATGTTTGCAATCTAATTATTTTAACCTGCTTTATTTGGGGGTGGACGGGCCTCAGCTC